GATAAGTAAGTTGCTGACTATATGATTTTTGAATGTTCTTGTGGATTATTCGATCGCTCCCCGTGTCTGAGAGGGAGATTTGTGTGAAATATTTCAAAACTGATATATAATTTTTACCTCGCTGGATAAAAGAGTCACAGAGACACATCTGAAGCTAACAATGGCATTTTTCATTTAAGAGAAATAGATTAGGTGGGAAATCACGTTGCATCTAAGTCACTACCAGAGATGTCCTGCTGCTCTAATCTAATTGTTTTACGCTACAATCCAATGAGACCTGTCAACATATCATATGGGGAGGTTTTTCTGTGGGTTTCTGTATGCATAATAAGGGACACGGACATTATATGCCAGTGGTGGTTTAATTCAAGTCAATTCAGTTTTATTTATGTAACGCCAAATCTCAACAACAGTCATATCTAAGTGCTTTATATTGTAAGGTAAAGACCCTACAATAATACAGAGAAAATCTCAACAATCACAGTACCCTCCTTTGAACAAGCACTTGGTAACAGTGGGAAGGAAAAACGTCCTTTTAACAGGAAGGAACCTTTGGCAGAACCAGGATCAGGTTGTGGCACCAACCTGCTCTGAGCAGTTGGGGATGAGAGGAGGAATACGGGACAAGAGACACACTGTGGAGCAAAGCCAGAGATTAATAATAACTAATGATTAAATGCAGAGAGGTGTATAGAGAGTGAAAAGAGGTGAGTGAAGAAAAAACTGCCTATTGGAGCGTAACTAAGGGAGGTTTCAGGGTCACCAGATTCAGCTCTAACTATAAGCTTGGTCAAAAAGTAAAGTTTTAAGCATAATCCTAAAAGTATGGACATTGTCTGTACCTCGAATTCAAACTAGGAAACTAGTTACACAGAAGATGGGCTCAGGAAAAAAAAAAGGCCACAAAACATACAAAGAACCAGGTTTAAGGCACTTCCACATTGGCTTGACTTTTGCGACTCAAAGTTCATCTTTAATATACAGTCTATGTTGCAGTCACTACGTAACTAGAGCATAATTTCCGAATTACACACAGTTTTTGAAGTTAGCGATGTAGTGTCAGTGAAGGTAACTGATAAAAAAGTGACAAATGACACTGACTAAGAACTGAGAACTTCATCTAAACGGCAATAGGCCACATCAACTCCAGCTTCCTAGTTAACTTAATAAGGTTCTTACTGACATTAATACTGATCTTAAATACCAGTCAAATATTAGTTTGCATCCCTAATGTGCACCCCAACAAATGTTCTTCAGGGACCCAAAATCCCTCACTGCATCCTTCCTCATTTGCATCCCAGTCACTGTGTTGCGCTTGGTTGCTGGATGGCTCATCATCGGAGATAAATGATGCTGTGAAATGGCGCAGCAATGTCACAGCGTGGGCTGAGGTGGCTGCATGTAATACAAGCTTGATGCCAAAGAGTGAGTGAGAGAGAGAGAGACACAGACAGAGGCGGGTGGTGGGGCGGGGTGGGCCGAGATAGTGTTGCATCAGGACAAAACTTAGGGATGCCAGCGGAGTAGATGAAAGAACGAGATCAATATGGCACAATTATTGTACACTCACTCTAATTGATGAACACGTGGCTTGGAAGGACTTCCTTTCTACTCTTTAAACCTTACAAGCCAATTTTAGCCCAATCGAATCGGCTCAATAAGGTCTATTAAGTCAAAGTGCTTTTATTTACCTTGCCATTGGTATCGGAGGACTTATCTTTATTTTTAGGTCTTCTGCTGCGAGGTGCTGTAAACTATCCAGGGAAATTCCACTGCATCAATGCAACACTTTCAGTACTTTAAATTTATAATCCCTGAAATGCAAACTCTTCCAATGTACCTTCCTGTTGTACACCCTCTACAGGAAATGTAACAGATTTATAATAAAGCGACTAAGGGACTAATTATTCCACTGTAACTAAATAGAATTTCACTACATTGTATTTGAAATTACAATGTAATTATAGTTACCTACAAATGCTTAAAGTAAAATGCTTACATTAGAATGAAAAGGTAACGGGTCAGGTAAAATAAAAGCACAACTGAATAATAGAACATCCATCATTTACATCTACATAATGAATATTAAATAAAGATTTAAAAAGGCAAAATTAATCTACTTAGTCCATTAATTCAATTGTACTTACAATTTAAGTTTGGAAAATATTTGTTACTCTGAAAAATTAACATGAAATTATGCAGTACTACTTACAGTATAATTGTTTATTGTGTCCTGTAAAAACCTGACTTGTTACCTCTTATTCTGGTCTGCCTAGTATTTGTAGGTAAATATAAATACAGATCAAATAAATTCATTAAATTATGGGGGAATTATGCCCTGAGTCGTATTTTAAAATGTTACTGCAAACAGTTCTGAAAATATTCAGTCTCCAGTCCTGCTTGGATGCTTTAATTGAGCATTTCGACTCCCACTATGGCTGGCTCTACAAGTAGGGAAGGGAAGGACTGACCATAAAGTTGATGTGTATGGCCGTGGATGTGCCGGAGTGCCTATCTACAGGGATTCACAGCCTCCCTGCGGCGGCCATAAATTCACCCTGTGATTGGAGAGAGGAGGTAATGAGGGGGCCTGGCGCACTACTTGGCCACACTGCCAGACTTATGAGCGCACACACATTTCTCCGTAAATAACACCACCACTG